CGTACAGTTTATGCCAATGGAAAGCAGTTTTCCACAATTCATGATTTGAAGGCAGCAATTTCAGATGCTTGGGATAAACTTAAGATTGAATTCCTTCAGAATCTAATTGAAACAATGCCTAATCGAGTATTTAATGTAATTAAGTTAAATGGTGGTTACATTGGCCATTAAATTGTAAGAAAACTTTGCAATTTGAAACCTGTCCGGATAAATATGTAACAGTTTTTTTGTATAAGAGTTTCATAAACATTATTTTCAGTGACAAAATGTTAATGTTTGATTAAAATTCTTATTTTGCAATGTGGAAACATGTAAATCCATGTTATTTTTAATAAAACATTTGTCACTTAATGCAACAAATTTGTGTTTCACTTTAATTTTTTCGTGTCCGTATAAATTTGAAACACACCTTAGATTAATTAATTAATGGTTTGGAAAGCAAAGGTCAGACGGAAGTCCCAATCACATACTTGCGACATATCTGCACAGTAAGCAGGAGTTGCAGGTTTGAGTCCCATTTCAGACCAGACTTTTCTTTCACAATATTCTAAATTTTAATTAAAAATTAATTTATTTTTAATTATTAAATTTATCATGAGATTGCAGCTTAACTGCCTACCTCTAGCCAAATTGCCTGCCTCTTTGTATATAATTATTAAATTAGCTTTAAAATGTAGTCCAATAAATAATCTGGCAGATTGTATGGTAGTTACCATTCTTTTTACTTGTTTGTTTATTTGTTACTTTCTTTGTACTATAATTTAATTATATGTAATTGTTAATGGATTAAGTGTGAAAATTGAGTGCTTCTATTCTATTTTTTGCTATTTTAACTTATTATGGGTCATTACATGATCCTTGATGATGATTCTAATGATTAGATAACTAAAATTTCATATATCACATTGATCATCAGACCTTTTATTTGGATTGAGGAAGCTTGGACTCTGGCATGAATATCATTAAAAAAAAAATACATAGTTCTGTCTTATTCTTTATAAAAATTTTTCCAAAATCATTTAAGCTCTAAATTTCATTTATTCAGTAAATTTACAGTGTGAATCTTCTATTTTTTACTTCTGTATCTTGTATTCAAACTCACATATTATTGCCTTGGTCAATGAAATCTCTATCCTTCCTATATCTTTCTAAGAATATAGATGCTTTCTTCTTAAGGCTAATTAATTTCTTTCTTTTTCTCTGATAATGAGGGAAAACAATAAAAGTTTCAGTTTTTTTTATCATCAAGTCTGATATAATGTAATTTGTTTTAACTATTTTTCTTCTTAATTTTTAACATTAAATAATATATATTTGGTGATTTTTTAAATATTAGATGGTTTATTTTCCTATTTTCAATATGAATCTTAATGATTACATCATTTAACTTGATAATTCTTGTCTCATATTTTTTTAAATACAAACTACTGTATTCTATTTATCAAATCAAATAATCTTAGTAAATTTTTATTCTTTGTAGATAAAAGTCATTCCACTTCTTCCAATTCTGAATCTTCTAATTTAGACAGACAGCAACAGTGGATTGTAATGAAAGAACCACCTGAATTAGTTAAAGATGGTGTTTCAGAAGTTTCTAGAGAAAATCAACTTGCATATAACCAAGTAGAAAAAATGTCTAGTATTTTACCAACAATGTGGATGAGTTCACAGAATGGGAGGTGAATATTCTACAAGTAGACAAAACTAAAATATGGGATTTCTGAAATTTTAATAATTTCTTTGAAAATATTTATTTATTTATTAGTTTACAATTTTATTTTTGTATTTTAATTTTTAAACTTGAATTTCAATAATGTAGATATAATAACTTTAATATAAATGTTAAAATTACTCAATATTATACTAAATATTAAAAAATTTCAAAGATGTTAATTTAATTTTTATATTTTATTTATAGTATTTACGTCCATTCTTCAGTTTCTCAATGGTGGAGATGTATTCACTCAGTGAAGTTAAAAGATGCTGTTCTTAGTATTGTGTAAGTCCAAAATTTAATTTTATTGTTAATAGTAATCTTTAATAATTCATCTTAAGCTAATTATGATAAATTTTGTAAAATAATTATTTTTATTTATTTTTTAAATATCAAGTGCTTATTTATATGAATGTTATAATTTTCAAAAATAGAATTTAAAGAAAAATCTAATATTTTTACAAGTATTATTTTTATTGGGATAAAAAAAATTATTATTTGGGATAAAATGAATTATTATTATTAATTCATCTTATCTTATGCATTGTTAATATCAGTCTATGGAGATGTAATTTAGTTTGAAAAAAAAAAAAAAGAGAATTGTTAGTGGCACATTTTTATACAATACATTTTATTAATTTTATTTATTTCATAATTAAGAAAATTTAGTCAAAATTTTGATACATTTAAAAATTATTTTAATCTCATTTCTGATTAATGTATCTTTTACTTTTCATTACAGATATTCTATTAAAAACAAATTAAGTTTAATTAGTCAAAATGATGATGATGATAATTTGAATAGAACAGATTATAGAAAAACAGTATATGCTTTTTGTTGTTGTTTTTTTTACTTATTTTATAATTTATCATTACAGGCATATCAAAGGTCGTGTTTTTGCAGCATTAGCAGATGGTACTGTAGCTATTTTTCATAGAGCAGAAGGTAAATTATATTTATTGTAGAATAAGAACAAACAAAAATGAACCTATTACATTTTTGCTTGTTCTTCTTACATTTTAATCATTTTTCATGCAATGAAATTATTTCATGAAACAAAATTTGTTTTTTACATTTAAAAATTTCTGTATAAATATTATTAATTTTAAAAAATATTATTCTAACATGTTTTACTAATTTAAAGTTGTCTTGGAATTTCTAAAATGTTTAAATGCTTTTATTTATGTATTTTATAGCATATAATCCTGTCTTTACTTGTAAGATATTTATAATTGAATTTATTAGAATTATTTTAATAGCTAACATCAAGTGATAATCTTTTGAAATTAGATTAATTTTTGAGACTATTCAACTACACTTTTGAAAAGAATCAAAATTGAATTTTTTTTAGTGGAATCAGCATTAGTATCAGAATCATTAGAAATTTTAATATTATTCATATAAATTTCTGGGAAAAAATTGGCATGAGGAAAAAGACAGTTTGATTCCTTATCTTAAAAATTAGCTTCATATACTAGTACAGATAATATTTTTAACAAGAAAAAGAATACTTTTCTGGATAACTTATATTTTTATGATTATTTTTTATTTTAATTTTTGAATTTTTCAATTATATTCAGTAAAACTATAAAATCATTCAGAAAGAATATTTTTATGATGGAAGATTTTTTTATACCCGATTTTAACCTGATCATAAATGTTTTTCATTTAGAAATGTTTCTTGTAATCTAAGTTTTAATCTTAGCTTTTCAATCTAAATGTTATTTTCATATATTCAAATCATTTTTGTTTACAGTTGTTTTGTTTCCTTATGTTTAAATTTTTTATATTTGAGTAAATCGTATTTATCTTACATTTCTGCATAAGAAATGCTTTATTCTGTTTTAGACCTCACTTCATCAATAATTGCTTATTTTATGCATTAACCAATGAGTTAACTTGGGATGAATTAGTTCATCGAGTATCTTACTTATGGCTACTGAGTATTTAAATTTCAATTTAGTTTTTAGATAGATAATTTATATTTTGACAATCATGGGCATTTTTTTATTCATTGAACTCTTTTAATATCATGTGAGAATGGGATTGGCTCCAGAATACCTCTCATCTCACTGGGGATGCCCGTTAATTAACCGTCAAAAGTTAATAAGTATGCAAATACCTCAACTTTCTCAGACTATTGTTAAGATCCCCTGACACTAGTTAGGATAAAATTATCTTGTGTTTTAACTCACAATTAAACTTTTTTGAGTGGAAAAATATATTAAAACTTTCTGGAATTTTAGGAGGGTCTGATTTGAAACATGAGTTGACGATGGAGTTAAGCATTAATTGAATTGAATGATAATTAAAAGTTATATATATTAAGAAAGGTTTAATAATAATTATATACATAGGATAAATTCAAAATAATATAAAAATAACATATTAAGGAAATGAACATCTAATATAAATGACCCTTAAAGAAAATAAGATTGAATGACAACCCATTTACTAATTCCTTTCATAAAGAGAGAGTTTACATAAAATTTATATTACCTGTGATACATATATATGTGCTTAATCCTTGGACTGATGCATGAGTTGAAATTCTTCTAAAATCTTTTCTCGCCTCAGTGGGAGAATGAATGAGAGAGCTGGAGAATCAGGACCCTAGATCAGTGGAGCCTCAGTGGAGGTTCAGATTAGTGAGTAGAGCTGGTATTTGGTGGTAACCTCCCTTTTTACCAAAAATTCTCTTAAATCAAATTATTCTAAATAAGCCCTCCATGCTTCTGATGTAGATGAAAGTTGTGTGGTCTTGCAGATAGTGTGTGAGAAATACCACACTAACTATCACTTTTGGAGAAACTGGGACATTTTTTTCCATCAAAATGGCAAGTTCCTTTTTCAACTTTGTATGTTTTTTGTAAAATAGATAAATTTCTATAAATTAAATTTAATAATTATTTTAAATAATTATTAATAAAATCTGCTAAAATCACTCCCTCAACTCCAGGTTCTCACAACAATATATTGCAGTGCTGATCTTTTAATCTATCAAATTAATTAAGATCTATAAAAATTTCAAATTAACAAATTAATATGATACTCTATATTATCATATTTATTATAGTATTATATTTCATTTACTTGAAATTTTTATAAATGAATAAGAGTATAAATCAGATTTTATTTTATTATGAAAAAATTATCTAAAACAATAAATTCTGACAATATTTAATTCTTATTGGTTATGTAAAATTCAATATTTATGAAAAGGTTTGAACGGTTTTTTAATTTGAAATAAAAATATATGTATGAATCCTTAGAAATAAGACTAATAATATAATTAAAATAAAAACTCAATAAAAGAAGTCATTGTATTTAGTTAAGAATAATTATTACATTAATTAACTAAAAACTTAATTTAATTAATCAATGATTAATTCAAAGTTTCAAAAATTAATTTATACACTTCTATAAATACAGTCAACCCCCCTATAACGCTGTTAATTTTTCCATTTTATGTGAATTCCATGTTGTACGAGTCACTTAGATTTTACAAATACGTGTGCTGGGCTGTGAATGGCTCACGTATTTGTAAAATCTAAGTGGCTCGTGCAACATGGAATTCATATAAAACAGAATTATCAACAGTGTTATAGGGGGGTTGACTGTATATCAAATTTCTGATTACTTTGATATTTTAAATATTATTTGCTTGTTGCACTATGAAGAAATAAAAATAAGAATATGGAAATGTAAAATATTGTAAATTATCAATAAGAATTGTTTACTAAAATTACTTATATATTTTTTTAATTATAGATAGACAGTGGGATCTGAGAAATTATCATCTTATTGATCTTGGACAGCCACATCATTCAATTCGATGCATGGCAATTGTAAGCAATAAGGTTTGGTGTGGTTATCGAAATAAAATTCATGTTGTTGATCCTAAAGACCTCTCTATTCAGGTTAGTTTATAAAACACAAATAATAGAAAACTTACAAAAAATATTAGTATTTAATTCATTTTTTTTTAGATTTTTAAATATATAAACAAAAACTTTGATTTTAATGATGCTAATTAATCTAAATATTGGGTTGTTTGGAAAGTAAGTTCGTTTTTTTCCGTGGAAAAAAACAGAATATTTTTATAATAAATGAATATTTTATTGAATTATATATCGACCATTTTAATCAAATACCTGTTGTCATCGTTTCTGGTAGTAGCATGACTTCATGTTCATAAAAGTTTTGATTGCTGCTTACAAAAAAACTGATCCAAGTGTTTTTGACATTGTCATTTCAAGTAAATGTTTTACAGTTAAAAAAAAATTTGTATAGACCGGAACAAGTAATAATCTGAGTGTGCTCGATCTGGCGAATATGGTTGGTGTGATAGTATGTCCCATCTAAGCTGTAATAGTTTCTGATGAGTTACCAAACTTGTGTGAAATTTGACATTATCATGGTAAAACACTACACCTGTTTTGTTGATCAACTCGATCACCTTTTCTGTTTGATGATATTAATCAATTTGTTTACTCAATGGCAGTACACTTTTGAATCAATTATTAAATTGTCTGGTAAAAGCTCCAAAAAAATTTTCTTAAAATCCCACCAAAGAGAGCATCTCTCTTTAAGAACATGTGGAAACCATATATCGAGCTTTGAAATGAAACCAGTTTATTTCAAGTAATCATAAACAGTTCAATTTGACAAATTTAATCTCTTAGTGATTTCACGTGTTATTATTCGTCAGTTGCTTCAATCAGTACCTTCATTTTGTTTTCATTGGCTTCAACTGGCCATCCAGAACGTGGTGCATCTTCAATATTGAAATTGCCAGAACGAAATTTTGTAAACCAGTTTTGGCACCGTTGTTCTGTCAACACATCATCTCCATACATGTACCACAATTTTTTTCTTGCTTGAACAGCATTTTGATTTTTTGGTAATAAAAAAGCAAAATATGCCGAAAATGATGCTTTCAATCTTCCATATTTGATGGGACATAAGAAATAAACAATTGCACAAAATCAAACAAAATTTTTTACAAATAAGCCTTAAAATGCTAGCTGTCAAAATATATAATGATAATATAATTTAGATTGAAAATGACGGGAAAAATAAGACTAATCTGTCTAGTGGTAAAAAAAAATTAAATTACTTTCCAAACAACCTAATAGTTTTCACTGATAATTTAAATATGTTATTTAACAGTCAGAGGTTTGATAAAATTGAGAAAATTTTGAATTGGATATTCAAATTTAATCAGGAATTATATTGTAAGTTTTAAAAATAAATTAAATATTATATATATAAGAGTATATTGAATTTTATTTGAGCTATATTAAATGATTTCTATGTTATTACAAACCACTTATCACAAACAAATTTTAAAACATTAATGAATAGTTAAAATTTCTTACATATTAATTACCTATGCTTTAATTTATTTATACTCTACTTCATTAAAATTTTTGTCTTTAGATGATTGACACAATTTATATTTACTAGTTTATTAATAAAATTAATTTTTTTCAGAAATCTTTTGATGCTCATCCTCGTAAAGAAAGCCAAGTACGACAAATGGCCTGGGTTGGTGATGGTGTTTGGGTATCCATTCGTTTGGATAGTACTTTACGTTTATATCATGCTCATACTCATCAACATCTGCAAGATGTTGACATTGAACCATATGTCAGTAAAATGCTTGGTATGTTAATAGTCTATATTTTACCATAACTTAAAACTATAATCAGAAATTTTAAAATAAAATATTTATTTAATAAAACTTGTATATAAATTAACTTTATTATTATGTATTAAGTAATATTACATACATAACAATATTTTATACTCAACTAAGGCAGTATAATTACTTAGTTTACAGAAAATCTGATATATTTATTAATTTATTATTGTATTTTAATTTATCAATAAGATGCAATTTTTTCAAAATTTGACTTTTAATAGTTTGTTATTTAAACTATTATTTAAATAATTTTCTTACAAAGAGTCATGACATGATTGTCACAAATTTCAGTAATATTGTTGGTATGGACCTGTATTGAGCAAAGAAAAAAAAATCACTTCTGAAATATTTTCAAGAAAATTTAAGCTAAAAAATTCAGAGACTTTGTAGGTTTTTCAGAATAACATCAAAGTCTGCACAGTTTGATGGGACAGTTTGGTGTACCTTACTCATATTTGCAATATCACTGATCGAGTCTCAGTGAGTGAGCTTTTTTCAAATCAATGCAATTATTAAATAAAATTAATTGTAAATTGCATAAAATTGTACATTTTGTCTATTTTTAGAATTGCTGTTTAATAAAAAAAAGTTTTAAAGTATTCACATTTAGGAATGTGAGAATATCATGAATAATTTGACATTTTAAGCAATTAAATAAATTCAAAAAATTATTAGTTATTACTATCTCTGAATATAACATTGAATTATTGTTTATATCATAAGTATTCATAGCTAATTAAATAAGCAGACAGTAAAAATAAATTCAAATTATAATATAAGATTAATAAATTCATAAACAATAAAATAATTAATTATTTGAGTTTTAAAAACAAACTTTAAAAGAAGAAAATGCATATTTTTAATAAAGAATAAATTATTTTATGCAAAAATTGCATTGATTTGGAAAAGAGCTCACTCTTTGAGACACAAACCAGTGATTTTACGAATATATTTGAGGCACACTCCCACCAAATCATACAGTCTTCGATGATATGTTTTGCACAACTTATTCATAAGTCTCTTGGGATTTTTTAACTTCAGTTTTCTTGAAAACATTTAAGAAATGTTCTTTATCTCTTTGCTCAATAAAAGTTCATACCAAGGCTTATCCTCACAAACAATATTACTGAAATCTGTGATGACCAAGGCATGACTTCTTTTTTTTTTAGACTTAATTCTTCTTCTTTAGAATCTAGTTGTTTAAAATAAGTTTTATTTCACTTACAGATTAAAAATCATAGTATAAAAGAAATTATTTACTTACTTTTTAATTAATGTAAACAAATTTATTTTTCCTGTAATTTTAAAAATAAAGAATTATATGTATAAATTTTAGAACAATTTTTAAAATGTTTGTATTGAATGAAATAGTTTAGCTTTTAATAGTTTTAATTTATCAAAGTTTATCCAGATTATGTTTTTAAAAATTTTATTTCTGTTTATTTTCTTGCTTTTTTTTTAGATTATTTATTCTCATTTTTTCTTATTTTCAGGCAATCTATAATTCAATATATTTTTCGTATTTTAAAATTTTTGATTTGTTGTTATTGTCAGATCTTTTATGATTTTATAAAATATTCTTGCACATATTTAAAATAGATAATATAATTATAATCAAATAAAAATTATCTTATGTAATAATTGTAACTATGATACATTAGTTTCTTCAATAACTCAGTAAAATAGAGCCTGTTATAAACTAAGTTTCTTTCAGTATTCTAATGGATAATAATTTGCAGTATTTGTTCATTCATTGTTATTAGTCTATTTATTGCCCCTTTTACAATAATACATAATTTATTTTTGTTACATTTGAAAAATAATTTTTTTCTGTCTCTTTACAGTTATTTCTAGCTCTTCAAAATCCTCTTCAAAAATTATAACTGTTACTAATATTATTATGATGACGTCACACTATCGGAACCTGTGACCGGTGCTCTATGCATATACGTTAAATATCGCTTGACAAACGTTTTCGAGCGTTCTGTTCGCTCTTCTTCAGGTCAACTGAAAGAATTCCCCGGACGGAGTGTATATTATTCTTCTCTAGGATCAGGTGTCGGTTCTGAGGGGGTGGGTCGCTTCTGGCATGTGCGGCCGTGCGGCGGGGGGAGTGGCGGATTGGCGTCCAATAGTGATTGCCTGGCCAGAGACAAGGTCAGTTCCTCTTTCCGGTTAATGCAGGTGGTTAGCCGGTTGGCGTTGTCAATAGCCGCGGCTTGCAGCCATCTGAGTTGCTGCTGGTGGGGGGTGTCGACAATAATGGTAGCCCTCTCAAAGTGTACTTCGATTTCGGGGTTCGATGCGTATGTGGCTAGGGCTGTGGTCAGCCTCCCATGCCAAATATCCGCTTGGTGTTCACGTAGGCGGGTATTTAAGGAGCGTTTGCTTGAGCCGATGTATAGTAGTGCCGCTTTTTGTCTATTGTCACGGAGCGGGATAGAGTAGATTCCGGGGAGTCTGGTGCGATCAGGAGGATCCTTATCATTCCTTAGGATGCGGAAAATCGTGGGGCATCTTCTGTACGCCAGTCGAATCCCGTGCTCTTTGGCTATTTTTCTGTATACAGGCATACCTCGACTTACGTCGGTTTCGAGTTACGTCGTTCCCGATTATACGTCGCTTGTTAAAAAAGTATATGGAAAAATAAAAATCAAGTTTAAGTCATTTTATTCGACTTTACGTCTGTCCGCCACAAATATTGAAGTCGTAATATCACTAGATAAACGTTTAAAGCACATAAAATCATATTAAAATATATACAAGTATGTACTGTATTTACAGTACACGCATTCGTAAATTTAGATTACTTTTTTTGTACTATATTAAAAACTAAAATTTATTTGTTTGTAAGCTTAAAATAGATTTTTATTAACCATATATTATTTAAAATGCTTTCCTAGTGATAAGTAGATTCGGAGACAGGTAAATTCGACTTACGTCGTTTTTCGACTTACGTCGTTTTCCTGGAACCAATTACCGATGTAAGGCGAGGTATACCTGTATAGTCTAAACTAACCATACAGTCTACGCCCTAACCGCAGAGATCGCCGCCGACCCACAACGAGATAACTCGGCACGGATCCCCATCACATACAACCCGCACCTCAATACTACACAGAAAAATAGCCAAAGAGCACGGGATTCGACTGGCGTACAGAAGATGCCCCACGATTTTCCGCATCCTAAGGAACGATAAGGATCCTCCTGATCGCACCAGACTCCCCGGAATCTACTCTATCCCACTCTGTGACAATAGACAAAACACAGAACTGCTGTACATCGGCTCAACCAAACACTCCTTAAATACCCGCCTACGTGAACACCAAGCGGATATTTGGCACGGGAGGCTGACCACAGCCCTAGCCACATACGCATCGGACCCCGAAATCGAAGTACACTTTGAGAGGGCTACCATTATTGTCGACACCCCCCACCAGCAGCAACTCAGATGGCTGCAAGCCGCGGCTATTGACAACGCCAACCGGCTAACCACCTGCATTAACCGGAAAGAGGAACTGACCTTGTCTCTGGCCTGGCAATCACTATTGGACGCCAATCCGCTGCTTCCTCCCCCCGCCGCACGGCCGCACATGCCAGAAGCGACCCACCCCCTCAGAACCGACACCTGATCCTAGAGAAGAATAATATACACTCCATCCGGGGAATTCTTTCAGTTGACCTGAAGAAGAGCGAACAGAACGCTCGAAAACGTTTGTCAAGCGATATTTAACGTATACGCATAGAGCACCGGTCACAGGTTCCGATAGTGTGATCCCGGTCACATTTTCATCCTGGTACTGAGAATAGAATAGTTCCTGCATTTATTATGATCTATACACTAATGCTAATTCAAACTATTTTTGTTCATTTTTTTTGCTATATATATACACAATAAAGTATCAATTATCTGAAACAATTTGGGACTGGATTTGTTCGGATAATTGCTTTTTCAGATAACCGATTATGTACAAAAAAATATTAACCTATCCCATATTGAAATTCATTCATCATCATCATCATCATCTATACTGTCTTTGTCGATAAATGGCGGTTCATATGGAGTCTAGTGGCTTTACGCCTTTACTCTGAGAGACTTGTGGGTGATCGCTATGTGACTGAAGAGCCGGTCTTATAGAATGGCCTAAATGCATGCGGGGAAAGAATTTCTTCCAGGAGAACTTTTATGGGAAACTTGCTCCTATTGAGGCATCATCAATACGGAGAAAACCCAGAAAACTCCATGTTGCCTCCCCATGTTCGGGGTGTAGTCCACTCAAGTGCAGGGACAAAAACCACTCGGCCACTGGTGGGCTGAAATTCATTCAAATCCTGCACGTCCTTAAGTACTCTCTCATGGTCGCGCCAGTGCTGCCAGCTAAAACACGCACACTAACAAAAATAATATAGGAGTAGCCCAAGACATAGCCAAATATTGCAGCACCACAGCACTAGCGGAAATTTAAATTTGCTGACTGGAACGCTTTCGGTTAACCAATGTTTTGGTTGATTGATATTCAGATAATTGATACTCTACTGCAGTGGTTCCCAATCAGTGGTACGCGTCTACGCGAAATTGCGTGAAGGGGTACGCGCGGCAATCTAAAATCGGTCGATTTAAAATTTAAATGCATGAGATGAAGCAATCAAAAAGCTAATATAGATCTGCAAAAAAAAATTTATCCAGCTGCATGGAATATTTTTGCTGAATTATATGTTTTAAAGATCACAGATTCTAAAAATAACTTCCGTTACATCCCATCACGTAAAGGTTTTTTGCAAAATAAAAACAAATTTTTGATAAAAACTCTTATAATATATTTAGTTCATTGTAATAAATATTTTCTTACAACTAATCAACAAATTGTTTCTGATATTTATACACAATTTTAGGTCTACTCTTTTTTCTTATGAAACCTTTTCTTCTTCTTTTTGATGCTTCTCCAAACTCGTTTCCAATT